AAGAGTGCATGCACTTCAAAAAATGATTTCGTGTAGAGGGGAAAAAAAAAAACATACTGGAAATATACTCTTTTAAGATTAGTATAAAGCCTATGGAGCAGCATAATGCAGCTTGAATATCTGCTTTGATGAATTAAAGATACACTTTGTAAACCTTAAGGCAATGGGTAAAACTGAATAGGAAGCTCATAAAGGGGATAAAATAGAACCATGGAAAATGCTTAACCCTAAAACCTAAAAAAGACATGGGACAAATAAGGAGCAGAAGGAACATGAAGGGAAAACATGTGCACAGTGTCAGCGCCTAATGTAAACATGCTGATAATTACATTACATATAAAGGGTATAAACATTATGATCAAAAGACATAGATTAGCAGACTGGGTAAATAAAGGAAATCCAACTCTATATTCTTGGGAAACCATCAACAATAAATATAAAAGACTATGATTTGGGGCCAGAGAGATGGCTCAGTGGTTAAGATTATAGGCTGTTCTTTCAAAAGACCTGGATTTGGTTCCCAGCACCCACATGGCAGTTCACAACCTTCTGTAGCTATGAATGTCCTCTTCTGGCCTCTGAGGGGATTGGACTCACATGCACTCACTGGTCTCAGTGTCTAGAGATTCTTGTGACTTTGGCTTAGAAGATGATTTTCTAGATTTGGCACCAAAAGCACAATTATTAAGAGAAATTTTCCTTAAAATTTAAAATCCGATTTTCCTAAGAACTGGACAGAAACATCTTTCAGACACTGTCTGAGGAGGACTCATGTCCAGAACACAGAAACTGCCTGAAAAGTCATCAGTAAGAAAGTAAACAACCAATTTTTTAAAGTGGGTACGCAGTATTTGAAAAGGTTATTTCACCAAGGGAGATGTACGGATGGCCATGCAGCCCAAGGACACTGCGCCTTATCTATCAGAAGACTGAGGATAAACAAAGCCCCAAAGAAGTAAATAAAACATAAAAAGTAAAAATAAGCAGGTGAGGGAGCTTGCAGCCAAGCCTCACAATCTGAGTTCCGCCTCTGGAATCCACATGGTGGAAAGGAGAGAACCAACTCATCTGAGTTGCCCTTTGACCTCCACATGTGTGCACCCACACATACACAAGCACACACCAAGAGAAAATAGTCTTAAAATACCAAAGAAATAGGAACTACTTGGCTACTGGGATTGGTGGACAAAACAAACAGCAACAATACTAAGTATCACAGACGATGTAAAATAACCCAGCTGAGGGAAACCAAAATGCCGAAGTTATCAAATCACTCGGCAACACTCCAAGGCCTCAATACTTATCCAGGAGGAACAAATGCATGCCACTCAAAAGCCTGTCTGTGAATATTCACAACTTTTGCATAATCGCTAAAACCCGGCGTCCTTCAAATGGCTTTCATTTGAGGAACAAGAAAACTGTTGCAGCCACTTAAAGGGAATATTACCCAGCATTCAAAAGGAATGCCCACCACTGAGGCAAAGGTGACCATGGAGGGCATTATGATAACTGAAAGCCACGCACGATGTGAGCCCATCGCAGTAATGTTATTAAAACAGGAGAAGTCCAGAGACCAAGAACGGCGTGTCAGGAACTATGGATGAAGGAAGGAGACGACATAGAGTTTCTGAAGGAGATCCAAAAGTTGATACATTGGTCTGTGTTTGTCAAAAATTAGAACTATATATTTTAAAGGGGCAAATTTCATTGTATGCATTTTTTTCCCTCAATAAACACCACTTGAACAAAGAAGATAAACTGGGTCCTCTCAGGATGGCTCAGTGGTTAAGAGCACTGGTTATTCTTTCTGATGATCTGGGTTCGATTCCCAACACCCACGTGGTGACTCACAATCATTTGTAACTCCAGTCCCAGGGGATCCAACAATTTTTTCTGGCCTCCCTGGGTACTGCACACATGGTGCACAGATTTATAGACAGCAAACACTAATACACAACAATAAAAAATTTAAAAATATATATGCAACTCATAGCAAATAGAAGTAAGATCTTTTTTGGCAATCTACTCATAAAATCTGTATACAGTTGTGCAGTGTGGCTTAGGAGTCTGACACAGACACTTCAGAAACCTGGATTTTCACATGACTTCTCCCATTTTTAAGACTAAAAATGTATTTTCATTTAATTAAAATACAAGTACGTGACTTCGTCCATAAAAAAAAAAAATGTGGGCAACCTGCCCAGTCTTTGCAAGCATCCTGTGGACAATCCATGTTTGCTCAGAGTCGGGTTAGAGGGGAGAAATGAGGCAAGGCCAAGTCTGATGGTGTGTCAGTTGGGTTTCCAGGGACCTCTGGAAAGCTGACTGGGTGGGGATGTTCAGTGATGGGTGGGAGAGGGTGGATGTGCATGTGGGTGGAGCTCCTGGTCCCCTCTGACAGAATGGCTGTGGGTAGGGGAGAAGAACCCTTCTCACCCTGAGGTCCCCCTAAGCCACAGAGTGCTGAGATGCCAAAGAACTATTCATCTTTATTTCATCCCTTCAGTGGACAGCACTGATTTTGAAGCTACTTCTGGGCTCTAAAGCCTCCTCTCTCTGAAGGCTCCTGTGCGTCATGCACCATCGGCGATGGGATGGCAGGACCACGTGTACAGTTTGCAGCCCACACCTCCACCCAGGCCTCTGTCCACCTGGGCATGTGCACATCGAAGTAACTGTGGACCTTCAAACAGGTTCCGGTGAGTTAGCTGGCCAGGGCTCTATCCCACCTTCTCTGGGGCCCCACACCTGAGTGGAAGCCATCAAAACCCCCCTGAGAGCCTCAGCCCCTTCCACCTGCCATTGAAGGTCGACAGGTGTAGCCTATGTTTCAGCTCAAGCTGGGTCTGAATCTCAGGGAGGGAGCAGTTCCTCTGTTTCAATGCTCTGTCCTATTTATGGAAAACTCCCGACAACAACTGTGTTTTCTGCAAACCCTGGTGAGTGGCGAAGCTTCAGCATCAACAGTCAAAAACACACACGAACAGTCAAAAAACACACACTTCGGTTGGTGCTAATGACTGGACAGCCTTCCAGGGCTCCACAAACCACCCCGGGACCCTTATACGAAGTCCTGCTGTCATGCCTTTAAAAAAAAAAAAAAAAAGTGGGAATTTAAACAAGGATGAGAAGGTGTTTGTTTCTATAAAACATCGTGTGGAGGAGCCAGGAGACAGCTCAGTGGCAGACGCATGCACGTGCATCCAGGAGGACCTGAATCCCAGACCCAGAAAACAACAGAAAAGCAGGGCAGACTGAGCGGGCTGGAATCCCAGCGCTGAGAAGGCAGTGATGGACAGGTCAGGGCTAGAAGGCAGGCTTAGTCTAATGAGAGCGCTCCCCTCAAGGTGAGAGGCCCTGTCTCAAAAGCCAAGGTGGAGACTGACCGCAGAAGACACTGAGGGTTGATTGCCTGCCTCTGCATACAGGTGCGAACACACACCCGCTTGCACACGCATGCAATATCTCACAGAGTAAACATCAGGCTGGTTTAGGGGAGCACTGGAATGAGCTGCAAGCTTCTCATCAACGCTGCAAAGTGAAAACACATTTGGCAGATGAGGCTTCCGGAACCAGCCTTAGGAGCCCCACCCGGTGAAACCTAGCAAATCCAGGTGCCAGGGGGGAGTTGCGGGGGGGGGGCGCTTTGCATCACATGGGTTTTCCCAGCCCCGCAATCTCCACCATGCCAGCCCCACCCCAGCGCCTTCAATCGCCAGCCCAAGGTCTACACCGGCCACTGCAATAACAGCCGCTGCTTGATCAGAAGTGAAAATCTGGGTCTCTTTCTCTCTTTTTCTTTCTAAATGCCCAGTAAGCTATTTGGTGATCAGAATCCACGGGGAGGTGTGTTCTGAGAGCAGCTTCTGGGTTACTAGCAGAATACAGGTAAAGGCTCCTGAATTTCTGCCCTTTGAAATACAGGGAAAAAAGCCCCAGTTTACCCGGGGCTCCGAGGAAACAGGACCCATTGGAAGGAAGCACAAGCGTGCATAATGCATGGCAGGCTGGTCTGGGGAATGCTCCTGGAGTAAGGGGCATTCCCCGGTTTCACATGGCGCAGTAAGGACTTTTGTAAAGCAAATTCTACTTTTTAACACCAATTGACAACTTGTCTCCCCAGATACATTTCCAACATAGCCCTGGAGGACGGGGCTGGAGAGAGGTCTCGACATCAGCGCGGGGAGGATTAAAGAGGAACCTCAGCCTCTCGTCCGTGTCAACGGCTGAGCTCGAACCCGCCTCGCTGCGGGAGGGCTCAGGACACGGTGGAACCTCTGCGCTTAACCTACGGCACGCAAGAACCTCGCCAGGACGCCACGACCGCACCCCGGGGCTCCGGGACTCTGAGCGCCTGAAGCCAGAGGCACTGGTTCTTCAGCCCTGCCCGCCGGACCCAAAGAAGGGTAATAATCCGACTTAGCGACCATAGCAGCTGCGAGAGCTCTGGCCAGCCTGCGTCAACCCGTTTGCACAAGTCTCCAGAAACCTGCAGAGTCCTGGTTCCCACGGCCCCGGGCAAAGAACCTGAGTGGGAGCCTGTCAGCGGACTCGCTGGAAACCAGAGCGGCCTGAGGCTCCCAACGCCACCGCTCGCTCGGTGGTCTAATGTGGGGCGGAAAGTCCTGGTTTTCTCAAGGCTGGGGAAGGGGCCGCGGGAAACTGGGGTCCTCCCCGCGTCCCGCCGCTGCACCGAGTCTGGGGTGCCCAACTCCATGTAGAACTCAGGGTGCAGCCCAGACCCAGAGTCCGGCAGCCACGCCCCCCGCTCTCCGGGAGGGAGACAGCAGGGCTTCGGGGTGGGCTGCCGCGGCGGCGGATCTCGAGCCGAGCTCAATTGCTTGCAGCTGCGACCGGGGCGCGCTGTCTCGAGAACTGGAGGCTCTCGGTAGAACCCGGAGACCTCGCCACCCGCGCTACCCTCGCCACCCTCGCCACCTGCGCCCCAGTCCCCCGCAGCCCCCGAGGGACCCCGCGATCTCCGCCAGCGCTCGCCTTACCTTGGCCCAGCAGCGCGGCCAGCACCAGGCTCAGCGCCCTGTACCGCGCCGCCCACCCCGGGGCCGCGCCCTCGGAGCGCATCGTGGCCGTTGTCACGCTACCCATCGCCAGCCCGGGCCCCGCGCCGGCTGCCCCATGCCCGGGGCCGCCCCCGGCAGCGCTCCGGCTCCCGCGGCTGTTCTTGCGCTGGTCAGGACAACTTTTCTCTGGCTGCAGCCGCGGTCCTGCTGATCCCGCCCCCGGGCCCGCCCACTTCGGGCCCGCCCACTACACCCTCCGGATCCGCCCACCTCCGGCCCCGCCCGCGGCCGGATGAAAGAAGGATGCTCGAGCTGCCAGGAGGCCCCGGGGCGCGCTGGCCTGGGGGACCCAGGGAGGGGACGAGACGACTCGGGGACTTGGAATCCTCTCCTCCCGCCGCTGATCTCCCGCCTCGCAGCTTCCTGTCTCCGCTCAGCCACGTCCTGCAGGACGGCTCTGCCCAGGTGCCCGCCACGCAGGATGGAGCTGGACCCCTGCACTCTGGGTCTTGCCACCTCCTACGGTCACCGCGAGGTCTCGGTCTCGCGGTCCTCGGTCCTCCACGGGCAACTTCAAGTCGTCTTCTGCAGAGGGCTGGAGACACCTGGAATTCCAAGTCACGTGCAGCTGTGGAGGAACTATCTAGACGAACGATTGGGTCCAGTGGGATGTGTACCGATGTGTGCCAATACGTGTGCTCCGCGTGCACCGCGCGTGGGAAAGCGCCGGCTAACCGCACTGTCTTTAGAAGCTGGTCTGGGGCACGTGGATAAGGCTTGACTCGTTTTTCTGTATCTCACCCGATTTTTTTGTATACACACACATCCAGCTATCCAGGCTTAAAACAAAAGAGCGCCCCCCCCCCACACACACACGCCATACACACTCCATGCCCCAAATGTGCCCTGGTAAGAGTGGTTTCTCCGTACACCCTAGAATCTATTTTCTCTAGATTTCCTGGAGGTCCCTTCTGGCGTCACCAGGTTCCAGCAATGTCCCTGCAGTCTTTTGCTAGGGTTTCATGGCCTGCTCAAGAGTCTGGGCAGTGTGCTGCGCATAGGACCTGACACCCTCTCGGGGCTGGAAGTGGACGGTTCTGAGGCTGGAAGCCCAGAACTCTATCTGCCACTAGCTCTCCAGACCCGGGGGTCCCCAACCTGTTCTGAGTCTCACACTGCGCAGGCTCTGGGATCCCTCTCCCACCCAGGGTTAACTGGATCGTGTTGGCCAATCCTTCGGAAAAGCTTTCAAAACAAAACAAACGTAACAGTGATTGATGAAGAAGAAATACCAGGGAAAGGGCCAACCTTCCCAACCCCCAGGTCTTGAGACCGCATAAGAAGTCCGAGGGTGCCCTGGCCTTGGGAATGAGCTCGTACCCGAAAGGAGACCAGGCTCTCACAGGCCTGGATAGCAGCGACGTCATGTTTAGGTGATGCCGGCCATGGCCCAACCCTCTAGCTCAACTGTCTACTGTCGACACATCCTTGGGGAGCAATAATGAAGTCGCTTGGGCCCTTAGAATGGAAGGCACATTTTCTCATTTTTTTTAAAAAAAGAAAGCCTGGAAATCTATAGAAAAAATGAATATTTTTATTCAAATATTTGGTTTCCTACCATCAGGGAGAAATGCAACTGCCCATTATTTAAGACTGAGGGATGGGGTCGGCTTCATCTCCTATCTCCTATTCCGTTATAGGAATAAAATATAAAGCCCCGAGTGGGATTCACCACTGTGTCTACAGCCAGAATCACCAGACAGACACCCGATGTCCTCCAGCCCCTTGAACCTGTGGTGATCCTTCCAGAATGATCAGAAGGAGACCAAAGCAAAGAGAGTTTCCTTTCTGCAAGCCCCACTTTAAGACCTTCTTTCATCTGCCAAATGACCTTCTAAATATCAACCAAGCACTCTCACAGACCCAACAAATGGGACAGATGACTGTCGGTCCCTTTATCTTGGCGAGGGAAATCCACAGGTTCCCCGGGCTAACAAAGTTTCCTGTATTTATTTATTTTTTTTAAGCCTTGTATTATTGAACCTCAAAATCATTAATTCTTTAACTGAAATTGCTTCCAGATGCTCGCCTGAGTCTCATAAGCGACACCAGGGACCACTAATCTCCTCAAAGGGTATTGCGAAAGTCCCCGAAGGCTGTGGGCACATGGAGACAATTAACGTGATTTATAGGAGGGCAGAGTTATTGGCAAGAGAAAGCCCATGGCCTCCACATGTGCCCGGGGCTTCTAACTGAAAGAGGCCGCTTTTTAGATTCATTTTGTTTATGCTGAAATCTTAAATGGTTGCCATTGCGTAAGACGAAGTATAGAACTTGTTGGCGTGGCTCAGAGCGTCTTGCGCTGTCTGCTTCCAAGCAGGGTGTGTGTGTGTGTGTGTGTGTGTGTGTGTGTGTGTGTGTGTGTGTGTGTGTGTGTGTTGCTGTGTTATATGTCAAATGAGCAAATGTTACTGGCCGTAGGTCAACTTGCAAAACAAGCAGGATCTTAATTCTGGTGCTTACTGGTTGATGTAGAAAACAAGGAAGGGGGAAAAATAGAAAATACACGTTAAGTTCAATATGCCAATGATGCCCAGTGTAGACAGACACATTGAAACAACCCCCGGAATAACAGGAGCCATTGAACCATTTGGCAAACACTATTTCCAGTCATCAGCTGGTTTTCTAGAAGGTTCTGAGGGTAGAATAGACCAAGATCCCCTGATGGTTATCTTTGATTGACAGCTGGATGGAATTTAGACTCACATGGAAAGAAGCCTCTGAGCATGTCTGTGCGAGGGTTTCCAGATCGGTTCACCTGAGGAAGGAAGACACACCTTGAATGTGGGCAGTGCCATCCCATGGGGGTAGGGTCCTGGACGGAATAAAAAGGAGAAAGTGAGCTGGGCACCAGCATCATCTCTCTGCTTCCTGACTGTGGATGCCACGTGACCAGCTGCCTCATGCTGCTGCCCCCATGCCTTCCCCACCATGATGGACTGTGCATCCTCAACAGTGAGCCTGAATAGCCCCTTCCTCTCTTAACATGCTTTGGTCAAGTGTTTCATCACAGCCACAAGAGGTCCTAAACTCGGAATTTTTCCTTACATGGCAAAGAGGAACTGCAGGGAGGTGGGTGACCAAGACTGCCCACCCGTTATGAGCTGTGAGTTTCGGTGATGCTTTAAGAGAAAATGCAATTGTGAGGAGGGGTCAACTTTCAGGATGATGAATGGAGGCGAGCAGAGAATTTTTAGGAAAATCCACAGTGTGAAGGCCAGGCCCTGGTAGAGCATGGCCCCCGAGGGCAGCCGAGGAAGACAGGAGTGTCCTGAGGACCTCTGGATGCATCTGGGGATGACTGGACCAGTGCCAGGCAGAGTGGATCAGTGAAGCAATAGATGGACCTGTGAGATTGTGAGAGGGGAGGAGACACCTTGAACAGCTGGGTATCTGGAGTGGCCCTGTATGGCACTGGGGGAGTTCTGGGGGTGGGGAGCAGCCTAGGCTACTGATTAAGAAACTGAGGCCCATAGAGAAGGTGACATCATTGCTATGAAAATCAACTTTCCACCCAGGGAGCAGGTTCAGGTACTCAGGACATTTGCCACCAAGCCTGAGGACCCGAGTTCAGTCCCCAGGATATACATGGCAAGAGAGAATGGACTCCCACAGGCCGGGTGTCCTCTGACCTGCACACCCCACCCCCCCAATATGGGAGCACCTCAACCCTCGCAAATAAATAAATGTAAGATCAACCATCTAAACACCACATTTTGATGCCCCCAGCTGTGAGTTACAAGACCACACTTAGTGTGATCTGACAACAAGTCTCCGTGTAGCAAACCCCAGGCTGAGGAGGAAGGAGCTGGGGCTGGAACATAAAACCAGGACCTTCTCCCTCCCTCCCTGAGTGAGAGAAAAAGTCCCACCTTGGGCCCTCCAGTGAGGATACAACTATTTAGGGACTACCTTCTGGGCACTTACTGTCCACTCTGGCTCACTTTCCTGTTTACTTGGTTAATACTCCATTCCATGTTAACTCGGACCTGCTCAACTCTGTGCTCCCAGCTCTACACGGAGCGTGTGTGCAGCGAGGGGCACTTATCTCATGAAGGATCACCACAGATCTCTAGATGATGTCTCCGTTTTACCGATGAGGAATCTGAGTTGGAAACCTTTCCCCTTTAGCAATGGTGATGATAATTCTACCAAGCACCCTGTGAACCTTATTGTCCTCAGTTCACAGACGTGAAAAATCATGTCAAAAGGGACAAAGGTGGCTCTTTCAGGCCGCCCAGCTTGGAAAAGGTTAGGAGTAGTTAACCTAGGGTAGCCTGCTTTTGGAGCCCATGTTCACAATCGCTCACCGGGGTGATTGGTGTACAAGCTTGTGCGCACATGTGTCTGCTCCCGACACCAGGTGTCTGGGTGACTTTTATTGGGACTTATTTGTGATGGTTGGGATCTTTGTGAGATTGTTTCCCACTCATTAGACAGTTCTATTTTGAACATTAAAGAATGATTCTTCTATGATAATGCTGCTGACAGTCTCTCACCCTTTATCTTAACGTGGTTTCTATATAGCTGAATATCCCTTGATGGGAACATGGCCCTGGCTTCTCCAGTGAGGTGTGAGATACTTGTAACTCTCACAGGTGAGAACATCAGGATTGATGCTCAGATTCCTCTGCCTACCTCTCGCCCTCTGTCCCATATGATACTTGTTGGATGCACTACTTCTCCTGCCTTGTTCAATAAAATCTACAGAGTGGATTCTCTGCTGGTCACACCTCTGTCACTGCTCAAGAACAGCAGATGATTATTTACTATAGGAAACGGGTCAATGCACTTCAGATTAGGTTACAGATGACATTAACTATAATGCATTTCCTTAAGCACTTTTCTACGTCATCGTCGCCATCAGCATCGTTGACATCATCATCATCCCCATCGGCATCACCATCTCCCATACAGAAGCATTTTGACAGGGTTAGCTCACTCTCATGACCATCCCACGGTGTTACCGTGGTTATTAAGTCCATTTACAGGCAATTACGATTACAGATGGGGAACGGAGGGACTTTTGTCCAGTGTCTTGAAGCTGAAAATTGTCAGAGCTGGGATTCTAAACCGAGCACTCTGGCTAGAGGAATCATTTGCCGACTAAACCATCCTCAGCCGCCGCTGTTCACATTCCACTGGGGCCTTGTTAAAAATGTGGATTCTGACTCTGTGGGTCTGGAGGTCTGGTAGCCACTGCCCCGCGTTTCTCAAAAGCCTCCAGGTGGCATGGAGTGGTAGGGCAGTGGTAAATTATTGCTTCTTTGAGTAACAATTTCTCTAACGGGCTCTTTACCTACTTACCTGCCGTCTCATCATCCAGACGACAATTATCTGAAAGTTTCGTTGACATTAACTCTTTATTGCTTCTTAAGAAGCAGCCACGGTGAGCAAACTGACCATGTGACATCATCTCAGAAACACGAGACCGGATTGTTTTTGGTAAAATCGACTAACGGCAGTTACTCACTGC